ACGCAAATGGCTTGCAGGTACATTCTGATAAGGGACTCGCATAAATTTTTATCAGAATGTATGGGAACGCAAATGGCAAGCAGGTACATTCTGATAACGGACTCTCATAAATTTTTATCAGGAAGTTTGGAATGAGGGAAGGCACTGTGATTATAAAATCATTGCAGCTCGTAAATTGTGTTATCTGTTGTTAGGAACATCAGACATTACGTGAGTGAGTATATGTTTGATTTGGATGACATGTTCGCTTCTGTTGTGAGCATCAGCTGTACTTGTTGTTTGTGTGTGGGATGGCATTTGTGGTGTCATATCAAGAGATTCATGACTGTAATTATGCAACAAATAAGAGGTGCTCTTTTGCTTTCTCGACAGGTGGAAGCGGGGGTACTTCACAGACACCAAGTTCCGAAGAGGGGCTGAAGGTAAGGAAGTGGCCACTATTGTCTTTATATTTTTGTGTGTGCATTCAGTTGCATATGCTCTGTGTGTGCTGTCTCTTATACACATCTAGATGTGTATAAGAGACAGGTACAGCCCCCAACTCAGATTTAAAAAAGAATTGTGTTTGTGCCAACATGTTCGCACTTTATTCCCGTTTGTGCCAACATGTTCGCACCATGTTCGCACGAACACGCAAACATGTTCTGGCATTCGCGAAGCCGACGAACATGTTCGCCGTGTTACACAGCTCTCAGAGTGTGGCAGTCCTTTTTTCTTTGGGAGGGCGAGAGCCTTGATATCATCGTTGAACTGACTGCCGTCCGATAAATTCAGAGCTATTCTGCTCGTCAACAGTTGATGGGGGTCTCTTTCAGCCCCATGTGCTGTATGGGTGGTTCCTGTGCTCTTCCTTCGCCCTAGACATCTTGCGGTGTGCCTGGATGTATTTTTTGGGGACTGGCCTGCTGGTACATCCTGCCACGTCACACACCGCGTCTTGGAAATATGGTTGGGACAAGTATGGGTGGTTTAACTTGTCAAACAGCTGTGCTCTCAACCCCTGCCTTTCAGAAACTCGCCCCTGGTAAATGGAGGCCATGGCTTGCTTGAATTGGCAGTGGTGTGGTTGCGTCCTTGCAAAAAACAATGCTGGCTGCAAAAAACAATGCTGGCTTAGACGGTCCACCCTGTATCCTGATCACGACAGTCACTGTTGTGCCACCTCCTCTCTCTCTCTCTCTCTCTCTCTCTCTCTCTCTCTCGCGCGCGCGCGCGCGCGCGTTTGGGACTGCTAGGGTTTGTTAAAAAAGCCGCGTCGATGGAACAGATGTGGCTGCACTGGTCTCAAACCCTTTGTTGAATACTAAGCCAATCGGTGTTTCGGATGGTTTTTTTTTTTTTTTTTTTTTTTTTTTTTTTATTTTCTTGTTCACTGTTCAGGAATAATCTGAAAAGGAGAATTGTGTACAAAGCTCCTGTCCATTTGTGACCGGTTCCTGTCAGTCTTGTGATGTCCAGATGGACCGGTTACTGTCAGTCTTGTGACGACCAGAATGTGACTGTCAGAATGTATGCGGATTATCAACTGTTCTGGTGAAGATCATGAATCTGTCCATCTGCACGTCCAGGTCAGTGTGACAGAGGTGATGAGCAGAATGTATGTGGATGACTACGTGTTCTTGTGAAGATCACCTGCCTGTCTGGTTGTCCAGGTCCAGCTGTTCAGGGGCATTCTCACGCTTTGCGGGTAGGTAGTTTCCCCAGCGGATAACAGCAGAGTGACATTACTGACGACATTATGCATCTCCCTGTCAGATCGGGATGATATTGATGATCGGTGCATGAGCTGTATGGG